AACCTTAGCTAAATTCTTATGTTTTGAGAGGCGATCTGACCACCTTCGATCTACTGTTTTGACCTCACAGTCATTGCCCCTGCCCCACCCCGTTTTTTCCGCTCAATGTACCTTCTACAACAGATAAATCTAAATTTGTCGACCCCAGTTAAAGTTATCATGAAAAGATTATCTATTGACTTTTGACTGCATCAAAGAGCAATTTGTCTGTTAAACAGGAACTAAGTTAGTTAGTGAGGTGGTCAGTCTTCTGCTGACTATTTCTGTAATATTATCTCCTTTAAAGATGAAATTAATGAATATAAGTTTCTTTTCTACTTTGATTTATTTGGTATTTGATCCTTCACATCTCCTCTACAAGTTGATTAACTTTTGAGGGGCAGCCATTGATATTTCATATCTCTTCAAGAATCAGAAATTCACTGCTGACTGAATAAGAAAGAAGGTTTGACCAGTGCTCGCTTATAGCTACTTGGAAAGTAGCTATTAAAATGTACGTATTGTTAGCTTGTTCGTAGACTTTGAGTAAACTGGTCTCTAGAGTCTGCCATCTTCCATGAGTTTTATGACGATGTCGGGGAAAGTTGCATTCTGAATACATTTATATATATATATATATATATATATATATATATATATATATATATATATATATATAACAGTAGGTGAACAGAGGAACAAAATTCTGAATTGGGATCAGTTGGTTAGTATCTATTAGCATAAACTTTCGTGATTTGTTAAGAAGAAATGGTGATGTGATTTATCGAATTCAATGAAGGGTAGTTGCTTTAATGAACAAATGCCTTGAACTCTAGACTGAGCAATATACAGTTGAATCGGTAACTTCAGTTAACTAATCCGTGGATAATTCAGTGTGATGGGTGATTTGGCATCCTCATTAAAATTAGACGTATTTGCAAACCAAGTCAGTCAACAAATCCAACATATCATTAGGTTCCGAATGGAACACTGAGCTTCAGCAGCACGTCTCCACCTTGTACTATTCTTCTGTCTCCTCTTCAGCTGTTCTTCCGATTGACCATAGTCACTCATACACTTCATTTTACCCTCCAAATTTCAAATCACCACTTTTCATTCAGGGTTCTCCTCGAAAGATGGTCTGGTGCACGATGTCATAAAACGGTCTCCCCAGTGTGTGTGTGTGTGTGTGTGTGATCAATCCGTTTTCATTTTGTTCAGAATATTTGTTAAAGAGTGGGCTCTTGGTAGGTTCGTTCTCAGAGATTTTTGTTGGTGATGCCTTCCACCGGCCATTTGGCCTTCAGTATGGAGCCAGCGAAGAGGTCGACTGTTGATAAAGGTCTGCAGTGACGTCTTCTAAATTGTTTGAGTGGCAAGCCAGGTTTCTGACCGGCAAAGAAAAATGAACTTAACATTTGTGTTGAAAAAGTCAATTTTGTTCCCTATCCTGAGTGTAGATGATTTCAAAACTGATTTCAGACTGATGAAGGTATATCTTGCCTTTCCCATTCACTCTATAGTTTCGAAATCCCCATCCTTGACATGTAGTCTAAACCACGGTGCCTAGATAATATAAGGAAGTGATCACAGTGATCATAGATGTATCAATCGACTTAAGCTCAGCTGACTTCAGCATCCCAATGACTGATTTGTTACCGCGTTCTGTCCCGTTTGTTAAGTGGTAGGTGTAATAGGGTGAGGCATCGGTCGAGTGCTAGGTAATGAAGGAGGAACAGGAGGGGGAATCAATCGACAATGAGGTTGTAAAGCAGTTACACCGATTGGGATGAATGTTTAGGATATGGTCTATGTATTTACACTCAGACATCGCTTTCCTCGACCGATGGCCAATGTTGGCTGTCTGACATAGGATGGAACAGGTTGGAAAGGAGTTAGCTAGTGGTAGTCAAACCAAAACATGACTTCATCAGTCAGTGACATCCACAACGGTTAGTTTGAGTGAAACAGTCAGCCGCATACAGAGTTGTAGACTACCTGTCTGGCTGTGGTCCTCGGGATGGTAAAAACCAACGAAGACTGGAGACAATCTGTGATGATATGGCTCAAAATCGGTCTCGGTGATGGCTGGCGCAGACGCTTTCACTCTGTGTGATTCCCAATATCCAATAAAACTCTATTATTTTTCCATATTACTACTCTTTTTGCCTCACTCACACTTCTATTTATCATCTATTCTTACTCTCTTTTCTTGCCCTGTGTGCTACATGCAAGAAGTGCAGCAACCAGAACTGCTGCACATCAGTGAAAGGTTCTACGTTGAAACCAGTCATTCAGTAAGGAAGTTATGCTTTTCAAATTCCTCCTGGTGATGGTGAATGGTTGTCATTGGTTCATTGTCGTCATCACCTCTGTATTCTCTATCCTCCTTATATTCAGGAGTACCGTCGCTGGTAATGGTAATCAGCCTTGTCTTACTACTGTCTTCACTCAAAAGGTTTTACTGGAATTTCCTCTATGGATCACTTGATACACGGCATCTTCTTCATGTAGCTGTTGAACAAGGTTGGAAAACATTTAGGTCTCAGCACTCCATAGAAATGAAGTAGTTTCCAAATTAGTTGGCGATTAATGCTGTCGAAGGCTTTTTCAAAGTCAATGAGGGAGAGATGATACCACCAAGCTATAGTCTATTCAGTAATTATGACTGATGCTGCAGTGTGATCTGTAGATGATTCGGTTTTTATAGATCAACCCTATTCCTGAACAGCTTTCAGTCTTACCAGGATAGTGCGAGTTAATATTTTGCCTCACATGGACAAGGTATGATAGTGCCCTAGTTCTCACAGAAGCCTGATTCGCAAATCTTCGGTAGTTTGACAAGGTGGTCATTCTTCCAATCAGAAGGTACTTTTCCTTCCTCGTAATATATTTGCAAAGGTGGTGTGAGCGTAACAGCCAAGGTTTCTGGATCCGTTTTCAGTGTTTCAAGGGGGATTCCATGAGAACCACCTGCCTTACCATCTTTCGGTGGTTTAATCGCACTCAATGCTTTTGCTTTTGCTGAAGACCGTGTTCAACTATCAGTTCTGCGCCTGATGTCGTTGGTATCTCTGAAATGTCTGTAGGTAATGACGGTGGATTCAAAATTTATTTTGAAGTGAATGAAGCAAGGTCCTCCCTTGGGGCCTTTCATCACTTCGCATGTCATCTCGGGATCAAACCTTTAACTAATCAAATATCAGCAAACCCACAACTGATAATCAGCTCGATGCTTCTCATCAGTGACTGGCTCTATACAGGAAGCTACATGGAGTCCCAGTGAGAAGTCGTAACCAGTGGAGTCAACCATGTCTAGTATAACATCACTTGCTCGCCCATGACACTGGGTGGCAGTCGCGCTATGCATGTATCTCCTGAACTGGAAGAAGTTGAAATTCATTGGCTATTGGGATTAGTTCTCGGTGGTTGAATGGTCTGCGAGTGCTCTTTGCCACCAAACTCATATTATGTACATATTGACTGTGACCGATACTGAATAAAAGTGTCTGAGTTGTGTTCTTATTGCGATTGAACAGTCAAGTCTGATTAGTTGTCAAAAAGTCAAAATCTCCTGGTTTAATTATTGAATACTTAGTCATCTCATTGAATTCAGCTGGATTTCACCTCCAAGGAAAAAATCTTGAAGTGACTTTTGTGAAATGAATGCCTGATTAGTGGTTAGACAGCGGCTGGCTAACTCTCTAACATAATGAAGACAATTATTTATTATTTAATAGTAATAAGAATAGTTTTATTATGCGCAATCAGTTCACACGATATGCACAATTTACAGTGTAGTTTAAGTTTTAAGTACAGTAGTCATCTCCAGTACATCTCATGTGACACACAGTGGTGTTAGATCTGAAGAATAAAATTACCCACTAGGGTACGTCCCTTTGGTCGCACATAAATGCTCAATGATAGGGAATAAAACTGAATGACTTTAAAAACAAAAGCTAGAGAAAATAGAATGGATTGTTTCGGATAAAAATTTATGTGATCCAGATATTCAAGATGGCTACCAATCATGTTTGGTAATGGTATTATTATAAATATTTGTCTCATTGAGACATCAGCTTTTTGGTACATGTTCAGAAAACTGATGGTCTGCTCTTCTTTCTGTTTGCCTAATGTAACTGCTTTCTGGCATATAAGTAAATTTATAATATGAGAAGGGTTTCTTTCGACCTTTGGGTGCACTAAACAGCAGGTTGTTCGATAAACGGCAGCCGACTCAACCAGCCGCAGGATGATAGGCTGTGGCTAGTGACATATTCCGCCTGCTCTTGACTATTCCTGCAGTTGAGTTGAATGAAGATCGGTTACTTTGATACTGTGATTTGTTTGATATTTGAACCTTCTCTATTCATCATCCGTACTTGTTAATATATCTCTGAGGGTAGTCGTTGTCTTTCAACATCTTTTCGAGAATCAGACATTCATTATTCTAATTCTTCTGTAGTGGATATTCTTCTGACTACATTAAGGCGAATTTCTGACCGGAGTTTGTTTTTTTTCCTTTAGGTTCCCCAGTGAAACATAGGGCACCTTCAAGCTAGTGCCTTGAAGTTTCTGTAGCAGTGTTTAATTTTACAGGATGGAGCTGCTAGCCTCATACCGAACCTTCCCTATTAACCAGCATTATTTCTGGCTTTGCGAGGTAAAGGAGTGCGTCTGTCACCGAGGATCGAACCCCGGACCATGTGCATGGTTGGAGAGCGTCCTAACCGCTGTACCACCGACGCACTAGAGCTTGTTTACAGCTAGCTAAGTGGGCAGACATTATTAAAATGTAAGTACTGTCCACTCCATGTTGGCTTTCGGTAAACTGACCCCTTAATGATTGCGTGAAAACGTCTACTTTTTTTGTTAAAATTTGAATTTTTTAGGTATTAACTACATAAGGTTAGTTTTGTGAGCATAGCATAAAGAAGAAAACTTTTATTCAAATCTAATTCCTATGTGTTCCATATTTTTTCATCAGTTACGTCTTGTTGTTTTTTAAATGGTTTTCTCAGGTTCAGTTTTCTGTATCTGATTCGAATAAAATGGAGCGTATCTTAGACAGATTGGCATACTTCAATATTGGGAAGACTAATGATTCATCTATCATGTGAGTGATTTATCCAACTCGTCTACAGGACAGAGAGTTCTAATAAAGTTTTATTTTATTATACTGTTTAATTCTGTTGGTTGTTTTTTTTATATATTTTGTATTTTTAATAACTTTTCTTGAACTTTGATGCATCTATAACAGTTGGAATAATTTTCTGGGACAGAGCCACAAGCCCCACATCCAACAATCCTTGTTGTCCGGGGATTTTAACTGTCTAGAAAACTAGCGAGCCAGTAAACCAGACGAGGTTAAAATCTAAGAATAGTGGAAGGCTGTATCGTCCTAGTTCGTGACTCTTCATCCGTACATACTCTCTTGGGATTCGATACCAAGACCTTTCAATTACGAGGCGAGCTTGTAGACTATAAATCCACTGGGGAGTCGGAAGACACGAATACGCTGCAGTGACCGACAGCAACATATGAGAGGACCTGGATTTCACGTGTGGATGATTTATGTTACTGGAAAGGCTGGCAGTAAAGACTGATGGGCACCAAGTGAAAATAGAGAAGTTGGAGAAAGAAGTGGTAAAGATAAACAGCCACCCAATACAACCAACAGTGACAACAACAAACACCAATCACCATCACCACCAGTGGAAGAAAGACGGTGAAAGCGATTACTTCCTTCACTTCACTTATCCAGGTAACCAGCATTATTTCAATCACAGACAGTCGGGATGAATGAAGATGTGAAGACTAGTCAGTCAGCCAGGTGTGCGAAGGCGAGATACACCTCTGTCAAACTCAAGTCAGAATGGAAATCTACTGCCTCACTCCGTGTCAGCTAGCATAAACAACAACATTCAGAATATCAATACAAATGTCAGGGGAGTCAGTAAATCGGTTAGTTGGATCAGAAACTTACTCAGTGCATGAACGTCACGAAAAGCATCTCCATCTGTCAACTACAGACTTTTATCTACAGCTGTCGTCTTCGCTAACTGTCTCCATACTGAAGATCAAATGGTCAGCCGGTTGGCCAGAAAGAATTAGCAAAAAAAAGCTCTGGCGATAAACCAATCGAGAAATTGTCGCCCACTGAATATGTAGGCGAAAATGGAGATGAACTGATTAGACGTACGCTCTAGAGGAAGGCGCTGTCGACTGACATCGCACTCAATGCAGGCCATCCATCCCTCGAGTGGAAGGTGAGCGGGAGACGAAGAGTGGGTCGTCGGTGTGTGAGAGTGACATTGAGGAGATGATGTGAGTTGGAGGGGGGAGGAGATGAGAGATTATGGGCAGTCGTGGGGCTTGTCATCCGAAGACGACAGCGGAGAATAAAACAGAGAGAGTGGAAATGTGTTGTTCCACTTGGAACTCAAGTGAATAATAATAAATACCATCTATTTATGCCAATTTACCCTTGTAAAATAGATGACGTAACTTTCATCAAGGTAGGTTAATCAATATCATTTTGGAGACTAAAGGTTTTGCAGTGTGTGTCTTCTTCAGAAGCAGAAGTATACCACACGTAAATTAATTCTATGAATAAGTCTCAGCACTGCATAGATCACTAGTTTGATAAACATAGCTATTATAACTAAGACTTTATAATCGTCAATATTGACATTATGCGGAAAGAAGCTAATTCGTATTCTTCGTAAGTATTCGATTTCAGATATAAAAGAATGTACCGAAATAAAATGATACTTTACGAAAAGAAAGTTTTTACAATAGTCTTAATCTTTAATCTTTTTTTATTCCTTTTGCATCCCATGTGGAGCATAGGGCCCCTTCAAGCTAGAGCTTTGAAGTTTTGGTAGCAGTGGTATTTACTTTTACGGGATGTGGTTGCAAGTCTCATGCTCAACCTTCGCTCTTAACCAGTCTTGTTACTACCGAGGTAAAGGAGTGTGTTGACCCGGTGACTGAACCCCAGACCGCATGAGGCCTGGTTGGCGAGCATTCGACCGTTGTGCCACCGGTGCACTTTCTAAAATAGTGCTTACAAAAAATGATTTATTATCACTATTCTCTTAGGTTCCGAGCAGACCGTACGGCTTCAGTATAATATCTCCGTTTGTCCTGTTCTATATTGTCATCTTATATAAGCTCCATGACTCATCATCATCCTTCATCACCTTTCCATACAATCTCCTGCATGTCACCCTCAGACACACGAGCAACTAGTCGCTTTTCATTCTCGTCTAACACAAGAAATCGGACTAGCAATCTATGTCATCAAATGGTCTCCCCTTAGGTGTATTAGATCAACTTCCATTTTCTTCCGAATATTTGAAGGGCGTCAAGTTTTCCTAATCGATCCATTCGCAGAGTTACTTGTGGCTAATGGTTTCCAATTGGCCGTCCAATCTTCAGTATGGAGATACCGGAAATGGAGGCTAATTAAAAAATATCTCCATCTGGCTGTTGGAATTGCTTTTCAAGAAATACCCGCCGAATTTATGTCTCATATAGAAGCACTGACTGACTTAACATTGGTGTCGGAAATCAAAATCTTGGTTTTTATGCTAAGTGCAGAAGTTCGATATCAGAGTGATGAAGATGTATTTCGCCTTTGCACATCTGGCTGACTGACTGGTCTTCACATCTTCATTCATCCCGACTGTCTGTGATTGAAATAATGCTGGTCACCTGGATAAGTGAATTGAAGGAATTAATCGCTTTCACCGTCTTTCTTCCACTGGTGGTGATGGTGATTGGTGTTTGTTGTTGTCACTGTTGGTTGTGTTGGTGGCTGTTTATCTTTACCACTTCTTTCTCCACCTTCTTTATGTTCATCTGGGGTTCACTGGTCTTCGCTGCCAGCCAACCAACCTCATCAGTGAGTGTATTTTAGTTTTCGCCTGCAAGAAGATTTTACATATTATATTATTCTTCCAATAGGTTTCGAGTGGTAAACAGGATTTCACGAGGTCATCACCATTTCACTTCACTTCACTCCCACAATGCCTTGTATTGTAGACTCTTCACACGATTTCCTGCATATCATCTTGCAGCCTCCAACTCATCACATCCAATTCACTGTCTATTCGACGGTCAGTCGCTTCATGTAACCAGTCATTAAGCATTTGATCTATATCTCCCCATTTTCTTATTCACATTGACTACCTAAAGAGGAGGTTCTTGGTTGTGTTTTGTACCAGATCTCTTTGTTGATTATCATTTCTGACCAGCCATCTGATCTTCAGTATAGAGGAGAGATTTTTCTTGGTACAATAAATCTCTGAACCATATAAAAAAACTCAGTGGCTTGACAATAGTCTTCAAATTTCTGGTATTTTATCCTTTTAATCGATGCTGCACATTTACACACCGATGTTAAACTTATGAAGATATGTCAATTTATTCCTGATCTGTTTTCTACCTATCCATCTGTCTATGTGTCTGCATTGATTTCCTGATCCCAATGAACTGTGACATCCTCATGTGTCACACCCGTCCTTACTGGGTACGATATTGACCAGCTAAGAAAGTGAAAGAAACCATCTTCCCAGTTTTCTTACAATGGTATATATATATATATATGCCGAGTTGACATCAATTAGAGAAGCAGAGGAAAACGATGAGGTACTGGACAGTTGTTTTTGTTGTCCTTATTTGAGACTCGTCATCAGGACGCACTCACCGCTGCCCTAACTTTGGACCTACTACTAAGGGAGCCGGTAAACCATTAAGCCACTAAGAGTCGATCCAGTCATGAATTGCTGGGAATTAGAATTCATGAACCATTCACTCGAGTCTTAGTGACTGAATGATTTACGGGGTTGTAATGTAACTAGAGTGTCCTGGGTTCGAACCCTGATGTGTGCGCACTGATGAGTATTCCAACACTGGTACAATACAGCTGGCGCTCTAACTTATATCAGCACATGATTGAATTTAATATATGTATATGTGTACTTCCAAAATCGCATTTGCACATTTAGAAAAGACAACAGACTGGGGGAAGAAACGTATTCCTTTTCAATTAGTCCCTCATAATCTACTGGCATCAAATGTATCTCTCCACTGTTTAATGTCACCTTGTAACATAAGGCACACTATCAGGCGAATTCATCATCGAATTTCCGAACACCTCCCATCTTGGTTTGGCAAATGTCCGAATAAAGCAACACGCAGCTCAGTACTAGCACATCTCATCAATAATCACTCGACATCAAGTTGACTCTAACAAAGCCTTTGAAGTTATTTATTTATCGCATATCACCCAACCTCCCAATATGGTCTACGAGTACGTCGTTTACATACAACAGGGGCAATCGGAATCCACCTGAACAAGTCAAGTCTATGTGAATATCCAAAAAGAATTTGTACACCTTCTTCTTGTTTCGCATGGCCACCTACATAATATGTTTGAATACAGGATTTCATCATGAAGTGACATGGGTTAGCGAACCACTGAAAAACCAGACAGGAGTACTGGAAGGCTGTTTAGTCCTAGTTTGGGACTGGATCTTCATCAGTGCGTACCCACTTCCAGAGTTAACACCCAGAGGCTTCTGGTTACAAGGCAAGCTCGTAGACCATTAAGCCACTGGGAATCGCCACTTGTAGTGGTGAGCCGATGAATTCCAACGTCTGCCAACTCACGCATGAAATAGCGTCACGATGAACCGATGTCTTCAGAGAGTATTTCTTCTCACACCAGAGCTGCTGTACACTACAGTAATTGTCACCACAGTCCACAAACCAATAAATACTTGGATCCATAATATGGTATTAGATTTTAAAAACGATATTTTCCCTCCTCTTGTAACTGTCTTTCAACCTTGTTATTTTATTATGATTACAATTCTCAGCTAATTGTATATAAACTTGTTTGTATTTTACTTAATTCTCCTGAGTCATCCTGTTCTTCTTAGTCATTATTACTAACGCCTAAGAATTACCTTTTCTTGAATTCCGTAATTACTCAATTGATTTTCACCCCTCCCTCCTTCAAAACTTAGATATCTTGTTATTAACTCATATTAGCTAATTGTTCCAATGACTTTTAACCTTTGAATTTCACCATTGCGTATACCCAAAAGGTGAATAACTAAAACAACCTTTTAGTTGGTAAAAACAATTTTGATTTTAAAAAAACATACATATTTATATTTATAAACAGTGAATTGACGACTTGGCTTCATGTTCCTCTGACCTTTATACGAGTGTTTGCCAATTCCTCTGTTGTCTAAATAATAAATAATCACTATCCTGTCAAAACATACATACAATCACCTCAATTATTATTTTGTAAACACAGACTGATCGAACATGCAAATCACTAAAAAAAAAACAACAACAACTTAAAATATGCATCAATTTCAACCGTACACATTCAGTGGTGTCAAGTTCAAAATAAAAACAATCTTCGTGTTTTTTTTGTTCTCATCCCTATATAACCACCATTTATAGCTTAAAATAATTTCATGTATTTTAGTTGAGAGGAAACAATAAAAAGGCTGTGCATAGAAAAAAGGTTTTTTTTGTATGTTGTTGTTTTTTTTATTTCTTTCTTTCAATTCCTGAACAATCCTCATCCAGAGATATTAATGATAAACAAAACACGTAGAGTTCAGCGAATTGATTCTCTCCTTCATAGCGCTGTACAACCGCACTTATATATATATACAATTTTATTTTCACACAAAATAGGGTAGTAATAAAAGTAATGAACTGTCATAATCATAGTGTTGCTAATTAATATATATATATATCAGTGCATAAGAGGAGTTGAGTAAGTGTATCATAGTTACGTGATAAGATGAATGTGCGTCGGTGGCACAATGGTAGAGTGTTCGCCTACCACTCCTCAGATGGGCCGGGGTTCGATCCTCGGCCACTGATGCACTCCTTCTTTTACCTCGCTAAGTCAGTAGTAGTAAGACTGATAAAGAGGAAAGGTTGGGCATGAGGTTAGTGAGGCCATACTATAAAAATTATGACCACTGTTACAGAAACTTCAAGTCTCTAGCTTGCAGCTCAATGTTCTTCTGGGAAGGTGAAGTAATAAACAAATAAGGTGAATAATTAAACGAATGTGCATGTGTTATAATCAGGATGCACATAGAAATGAAGAAAAATATGAAGAAGTTACAAGGGGATTCTCCAGAAATACAAAAGTTATGAAGAATTAGAAAAACAAAAACAGTTCAAGTCAGTAAATCTTTAAGAGGTTGCTACCAATGACAGTAGAAGTGGTGACATTATTTTTTCTCTTTTTGTATACATTTCCTATCTGATAGTTAGAGTCTCTCAGCAATGCGAAAGAGACGTAAACGTATTGTCTTTGGCAAGTGGTTTTTCCTCACTTTGTAGATCACTTTGAAGAAGGCGTTTGTTGAATTACCAGCGTTGACCTTATAGAGCCTTATACAGCCACTACTGCTTTTCTGGCTCCCCAAAAACACACAAAAGTGGCCGTATGTGAAATCTTGTCCTTAAGGCTTCTGCAAACCTATGGACGACTGGAGAACACTACTTTTTAGCGTTGCTGTTAAGATTGTTCCTCTGGAATGATGAGGAAATTCTTCTTTTAATGATATTACAGGTTAGGTCTCCTTTGAAATTAAGGATCATCACCCTGGACTGTTGTCTAGCACACGACTGATTCAAGAAATCCCGCCAAATTTCATAACGACTATACAACTTGGTGAAACTCACCTGTACTTGTAATTTCGCATTGATATATCTCAGTGATATCCCCTCGACTTCGTTGTGGCATATTAGTATATCTCAGACAAGTGATTTAGTATTGCCTTATTCGTTAACATTTTGTTGAATCACAAGGATATCCAGAGGGTTACAAGTACATAGATGATAAATTTGCGTGTTAGCTATAGTCCTTTTGAAATAATATTCTTTCAAGTAGCTCAAAACGTCAAAGTAAGTAAGCCTAACAATATCAAAAGAGCAGCATAACGATAAGGTCAGACCATATTTTTTAAAATCCCTAAGTTGAAAGCTTCCTCCTTACTGCCTCCAATCAACTCATAAGAACGACAGTTCAACAAGAGCCGGTTTCATATCTTCAAAGAATATTATTATCTATTATTATTCCCTAAGCCTCCGAGGAGAACATAAACAGCTTCAAAAACACATCTTCACTATCTTCTATATTCTCCTGCCCCCTTCACCTGTTTTAAGACATGATTTCCAGTAACCTCTCATGTCCTCCCCCAACTCTCCTTTACGATCCCCTCCATGTCACCCTTGCACCGATGGACAACTCATCAATTCCCAATCATTTTCCACTCGAGTGATGTACGGCCTGCATTGTGCGCTATGTCAGCGTATATGTCAGTCCATCTCTATTTTCTCCTGCATATCTGATGAGCAATCGATACCTCTTGGTTTGTTCGTTCATTCAGTGTCAGAGCGTCTTGCTGCTGATTGTTTGTGACCTGTTGGATTCAGCATGGGGAAAGCTAGTGAATGAGGGGGCTGTTGATAAACGTCTATAGCCGTCTGTTGGAAATCCTTTCGGCGAGACACCCGCAGATCAAGTTTGTGACCTGTACAGAAGCAAAATGACTTCACTGACACTTTGTTGAAAATCCAAACCTTGTTGTGTATGTTAGCTGAGGCGCAGAGAAGCAGAAGATTTCCGGACTGATTCCAAGTTGGTGAAGGCGCATCTTGCCTTTCTGATTCTGGCTTTCTGACTGCTCTTGACAACTTTATCCGTTCCGACTCCCTGTAGTTGGAACAATAATAGCTACTTAGTTAAAGGAATGCAGGAAGCGACCTCTATCAAATCTCTCTCGTTGATTGTGATTAATGCTGGTTGCTGTTGTTGTTTGGTTGGTTGGTTTGTTATCTTCATCACCCCCATCTTCTCTACATTAACTTGAAGGCCTGTATACGATGTCCGCCTCTCCTATCAACTTTTTGTTTTCACCTGCAAATCTTCTAGTTAGTTCGACATTCAACAACATAAGTCATCCAAACCTGAAATCTAGATATTCTAGAGTCTTGTGATTGGTGAATGCAGAGTATTCCTGTTTTCTCTCTCACTCCCAATGCACTGTCTGACGCATTATTCAGTCAACCACAATTAGGATTATTATCCTGAGTATTCACTAAGAACTCCTTACTGAGTTTACTCGTGTGGATCACATGACATGTGGCATTATCACATAGACAGTCATTGAACAAGGTTGGTAAAAACTTGGGCAAATCACGCCGAAGTGTTGAAGCAGTTTCCAAATTACTTCTCGGTCAACGCTATCTCTGTCGACGGCCTTTTCGAAGTCGATGAAGTTAAGGTAGAGACAGGTTTGACTGCCATTCTATACTTTGTTGTGTGAAGACAATGCATGGAGTTGTAATTTGATCAGCACGTGATTTACCTTTCCTGAATCTAGCTGGTTTCTGCAAGCAAAGTTCTGCATTCAATTCATTTTTTATCCTCTCCAGGATCACGCCACGTAGTAATTTACCTGGCGTAGACAAGAGCATTATTATAAACAAAGCTAAAAGAGGGATATTTTTTAGACTATGAACACAGGACTCAATCACCACCGTTTTCATACTATTCTGCTGTTAAACTTGTCCAATAAAAAATTCCATTGTGAGTAACTATCATTCTATTTTTTTTTCGTCTCATTTTAGGGTCACTGAGCCTATGATCAATGTTCAAAAACGTAATAAGTAAGTTTCATGATTAATTCTTTATCTGAACAATTTTTTCAGTGAGAATATTCTCACATTTTTAAATGCATATTTGTGTGTGTGTGTGTGTATTCATCACAAACTAAAGACATAACACCAAAGTATCCAAATCCATTTTCACTATCTGTCAGATTAACGTTCAGCTTAACTCCATTGTTCGTAACTCAAAACATGAGATAAGTAGTACACTGCGTTACTGCCGGATGCATTTAATGCTGTTGTAAAGATAAATTCAAGAAAATTGGAGTCATGAGTTCAAATTTAGCTGTAAATGTATTGACCAGATAATTAGTTATCAGAAGAGAAAACAGTTCAGCGAAGATATAATATTTCTTTTCAACGACTTCATTCTCGAGCCGTACAGTCGTGTTAAAAAAAATACACTTTATCTGTGGAAACACTAAAACATCGACTGTCGCGCTGACTAAAGGAGACCTTCTTCGCAGCTGAACTACGACTAACCTTCTCCACAGAACCTATGATTCATGTGAACGTGAAGGATAAGCTACCACTGTTGGCCTCATCAGTGTGTATTTATCAATTCACCTGCTCATGTGGAGCCAGGTATGTCGGCCGTACCCAGCGTTCGCTTTGCAAACATATTCCCGAACACTTACTTACATGGTTTTACAAAACCGAAGAACGATGCCCGCATGCAGCTCCATCTTAGAACATCTGATAGAATCCGTACAACCAAGCTACACCTCAAACAAATTTCAAAGTCGTCTACAGAGTAAGAAGTAGTCTTCCCAAAAGTTGTACGAATCAGACTTCTTCAAACTAAAGCAGAAACAATGGTGATTCACTTGCTAACCCCTGAACTCTGCATACAGAAGAAGTTCGTTTATTCATTACACATGCAATGGACGTAATCTATCTTATTACCCGACAAGTAAATTCTAACTTATCTCTTTTTTTTTCTGTCTCTTCATTGGTATTACTTTGTCTTCTCAATTGTAATATTTTACATTTTCAACTTTCTTGTTCTCCACCCCCACGCGGTTTAATTTCTACACCTCACTACCACTGTTACTGAATTGACCAACACTCAATTTCTAGTCATTTATGTTACTTCATCCAAATTATTTGGTCAATTTCAGTTCTTATTTAAATGGCATTATTCTCTACCCCACTTCTACTTAGTCTCTACCTGTAATTACCTCTGTTTCTACCCTGACCTAAGTTGAAACATTTTAGTCAATTATATTACGTCATCAAACTTACTAACTAACTCGATCTTACTTTAGTTGCTGTCTGATTAACCTTGTGTCTATATTAGATCATTCTTTTATTACTTGATCAGTTATCTAAACTTGACAAACCTCACATATACACACACAAATAATTATATATAAATGCGATTGTACAGCTATGTGAATGAATTCGCCATCGAAAAGAGTCGCTTCGCTGAACATCTTCTCTTAATCCTATCAGTCAAGTTTGCAACGCTAGACTGTTCACTGACTTATGTTGAGTCAAAGTATCCAACACACTCAGTCCTGCAGCAGGACAGGTGAGAGCCCGAATAGCTTAGTGGTAACTTCTCTGAGTAGAGTACTAAATAGGTCAAGCGAGTTCAAGTCTCAGACGGAGATATTAACTGTTACTTTAAAGATGCGGAGATACGCCCTGTTGGCTGATGAGTGCCGACTAGCACGGAACAAGTGTCGACGACTCATTGTGTCTGATTGCCTTTAACAATCTGATATCGAAGATATGTTTAATTAAACATTATGTTCAATGAAAGAAAAAGTATACAATCCTCGTGCTTTGAAGACGAGCATATCTTACCAAAAAATAGGTTACAGTAAGGCAACCTTTTGTGGTGTTCCTCGGAAATTTCAAGAGACTGATTACTAAATAAGGCGTATTCACATTCGCGATACGATTATCATCACTAGGTTTTACAGTTATGTATCCATCATAATAGTGAAAGAGTGAGGGTTATGAACAGCACTAATGCTGTTCAAATAACATCGAATCAATCACCAATATCAATAGATTTCATTTCAGTAGCATCTATAAGCGTGATATTATGCATCAAAATAACACTACACACTGAATATCATACAAATTAGGAAGAGTAATAATAATAATAATAATACGGAATTCATGATTATATATAGTCTTCATTGAAAGGCCAGGGTAGTAATAATACCTGGTTGATCCGGTTCCTTCTACATGCACACACAGAGCACCGGTTATTTCAGGCGGATTGCAATAGCCTCTGCCATTCGGAGTATGAAGTATCTAGGTGCTTTCGTCAACTTATTCGGTACTTGATAGATGATGGAGAAGGATTCTTCAAAGATAGCTTTGTGTCTAGTCTGGACGAAAGGTACTAATATCGAACTGTTGATGGTTTTCATTATACCTTCAGTTGCCCACATCGATAGGTGTTCCCAAGCGAGCCCGAAAACTCACGTTCCTAAAGCAACGGTCAATATAAACCGCTCCACCATGAGCAAAGGTGAATTGGGAGATACAATTAGAAGTGGCTAGTCTAGTCTAAGTACTTCAATTCAATGTATTTCGATTCAGGAATCACCAACGGTTGGTAATATAGAAAATACGACTCGTAGCTCACCCGCACTAAATGTTCTTCGATTGAATTTTCCTAACCTGTTAGTAATTATTTCACTCCACCCTGAACTGCCTTCGTATGTAAAAAGGATTTCTTACTTATAAATAGGGAATAGTCCTTTTCAACTTTTTTAATCATACGCCTCTTAATGAATTTGTCTGGATAGCTATTTTCAATCAAGGTATTATATAGAATCCTTATCTCATCTTTAGTTACCTCTTCTGAGCAATATAGCTGTAATCCTGTGGCTGAGAATTCATGAATATCTAGGCTCAATAGAAGGTCAAGTCAGCAGTATTGGCTGAACCTGTTTCTTCTGTACACAGATCACCGGTAATTTTTTCTGGGCGGATCTCATCAGTAAAATGAAGAGAGAAATTACTAACGTTTATACACAGAAAGATTTTAACATACTTTCAAATGTTACATAATATCAGTTAATGAAACGAGACTTCACATTTGATATTTATGACAATTATACACCTTATATCCAGAAAGTTTAAGTTTAGACTAAAGTAAATGTTTTGATTAACATACGAAAGAATTATGCAGTAAAGATGAGAGATGAATAGGATATTGACCAGCTAACAGACTGAGTGACACTATATTGATGGAGAATTGTTTGAAGCCGAAGATTATGTATTCTGAGGAAAGGGAAACAGAGAGATAAACAGAGAGTAAAGACTTCCACTTACCAGGGAAAAGAAAGACTGGTGTTGACTCCGTCTTTCTGGACACAAAAATTAGGTTCCAGGCGTTTGATAGCGATTTATTCGTAAAACTTGAAGAATAACGAACTATTTCGTCGATTATTAATTTTAGAGGATTTCTTGATGTCCAGTTCATGACCTGTATTGACTAGATACCTGGCAATGCCACTGTTCAAAGCATTTATTGCCTTGAGACGTGGGCTCTTTGGTTCATGTTCATAAAGTCAGAGGTATATCCAACCTCCTTTCTGTTCTTCCAATGGAACTGCTCTCACGGATATATGTAAATTTGTCTGCACAGTTGGAGTTGTTACCATAAGAAGGGTTTCTTTCGACCTTTTGATTTCACCCAAGAATTTGTTGTCCCATAAACGGGAACCAACTTGCCTAGCTTTAGGATAGGCTATGGTTAGTGGCATTTTCAATCCTATATTGGTTATCCCTGCAATATTATCACCTTTAAAATCAATTCGAATGCAGATAGACTATTTTTCCCCAATGTAATTTGTCTGTAATTAAAGCCTTCATTAATTCCGTTCTTCCTAAAGAATTTCTGAGGGTCGCCTTAGTCTTCCAACATCTTTTTAAGAATCGAAATTTCTTCATCTAATTTCTCTGTAGTGCATATTCTCCTGCTTCATATATGAAGCGAAGTTCTGACCAGTGCTGATTTATAGCTGCCGATTTGGAAAAAACCCATTAAAATGTAAGCACTATCCACTCCATTCACGATTTCGTTGGATGTATGTCTGCAGACCACCTTCTTCCAGGTGTTTCATGGTGATGTCATGGAAATGAAACTTTCCATCATTTTCATGTTTCATTAGGAATTGAATATTTGTATGTGAGTGGCTGAATAATCTGGGCAGGTAAGGCACATGGATTTCATTGTTGCACAGTGGAAATGTTTCATGGACATACGGACAATAAGAAGATGTCGCATCGATTACAGGCGTCAATCTCATTCTCCCAAGACAAGAGGCGAAGAAGTCTAGTAAAACAGGGCTAACTTGACTGGCCATAGCTGAGCCATTTATTTGACGATCAAGTGTTCTTAAACTGGTATTGCACACCTACGGTACACATTCACAGTTGGCGTTTACATTTTGAACACTGGGAGTGGGAGAAAATCATAATGTTGACAAATCATTCGGATGGTCCAGTTGATCGGAATCCTTGTAAACATCAAATTACACGATCATATGATTCAGGCTCCCGGTTAAATTAAATGAATCTTTCATGGTGAACACAGCTAGTCATTGACGAATAGGTTCCAACTTCTTTACGAATCAGCTGGCAGCTTTTTGCCCGGAGTGAATGGATCACATAATGTGTAAGTCTCAGGAGGAGATTTGCTCGTTGTGTGTCTCTGACAGACCGTAAATATAAAGCAGACAGGAGCCTCGAGGTTTCAGATCATTGTAAACGTTGTTGTCAGTTAGTTTCTTCTTTAACAGCTCACTCAATGCATTTGTGAAGCACCTTTCAATTGCATTGGTCTCATCTTTTGGCAGTCTTCCACTTTGAAACTCAACAGGTTGTTCAGGACAGTTTCCATTCTTGCGGTTTGATGGAAATATTGATTGACTAGTGTGGAGGTAAGGTATAAAGTCCTAAAGAAAATAAGCAGGACAATAGAGGAGTAATGTAAATATTCACCGATTAGAGTGAGATAGACATGTAAT